GTCCTCTCGAGGTTCCTGTCAGTCTCTTAAGCCAAAAACTGATCATCTTTTACACACACCCTTTTAAGAATCATCCACCACAGTGAGTCTCAGGTAAGGAAGATGGAAAGTGGCCATTCACTGCTTGTAGTCACAGCGGTAGAGGGGAGAAAATTCGCCAGCCCTTCTAGGCCATTGATGGTGGCCTTTGAGGTGACAGATGCATTCCTTACACTAGACCACAGCCAGCAAAGAGGAACTGAAGGGTTCAATTCTAGGGGCAGGAGCTCATGGTAAATGCACTGGCTAAAGTCAGCAGGCATTACTTGGCAGCCTATGGAGGAAAGAAGAAGCAGGTGTGAACCTGAGAGGGTGGGGTTGTCTCTTCTTGAGATCACCCCCAGCCTCCTCTGCCTGTATATTTCAGTTGTCCAAACCATGTCAGCATGCTGTTAAGCCACACAAGTGAAGGTTGCTTGTAGCATGAATCTTAGAAGGTCTTATTAATAAAATCAAACCTGGGCTGTGTATTGTGGTGAACACTGGATGATCAGAGAAACAGAACCAGCCACAGCTTCCTCACCTTGCCAATTCCTCGGAGCTGATCCTGTTTCCTCAGACTGGATGCCTCTCAGCTGAACTGTGCTGCTCAAAAGCCTAAAAGCTTAACCAGCTCTAGTTCCTGGTTTTCACACCTTATATACCTTTCTTCTTCCTGCCATCACTTCCTGGGATTAAAGGCATGTGTCACCATGCCTGGCTGTTTCCAGTGTGGCCTTGAACTCACAGAGATCCGGGTGGATCTCTGCCTCTGGAGTGCTAGGATTAAAGGTGTGAGTGCCACCATTTTCTGGCATCTACATCTAGTGGCTGTTCTGTTCTGACCCCAGATAAGTTTATTAGGGTGCACAATATTTTGAGGAACACAATACCACCACAGTTGCTTTTATGCAATTGACTCTAAGATCTTTGGAACCATACAAGTGGACCCTGGCAGGAGGAAAGCTCCTTGCCTTCGTCCAGGTTCTCTCTTCCTCTCAGACATATGGGCGGTGGTTTCCATTTGTTGTTAAAATTCAGAAAAATGTTAAAGTCTACAAGAAGTTCCAGCTTGGTAAATATGTCTACATGACACCTCTGCAGAAGTGCATCTGGCCACTCCTCCCTCCTCCTCCCCGCTTTCACCCCACACCCCCCTGAGGACTCAGAATCTGTTGTAGCTGGGGCCAAGGTGACAGCTCTCATCCCCCTTTCTGCCTCCTCAGCCTGCTGTGACCAGATACTGAGGCTTGCAGCTTCTGGCCTGAGCAGCTAAGTGCTTTCTCTCTCTCCCTAAGCAGCAAGATGGACCTGCTGGTCAGGCCTCCCTGGAGAAAAAGCAGAAATAAATCAAACACCAGCTCCTACTTAAGATCTGATGAAATTCTCCATTTCCTCTCCAAATTGAATTCCTCCTGCAGGAAGGGAGCAGCTCCTGGGAGTCACAAAGGCCCTCCTTCCTTCTCTGCTGGAAGCATGTTTTAAATTAATGGATACAACATTCTTTTTTTTTTCTAATTTTAATTTTTATGTTCACTGGTATTTTTCCTGCATGTATGTCTGTGTGAGGATGTCAGATCCCCTGGAACTGAAGTTACAGACAGACATAAGCTGTCACGTGGGTGCTGGGAATTGAACCCGGGTCCTCTGCAGCCAGTACTCTTAACTGTACTTCTAACTGTGCTCTTAACAGCTCTCCAGCCCCAAGGACTCAACATTTTAATCTGTCTGGGTGGGTCCTAAAGGACAGTCTAGAGGCTGTTTTCAGGTCGAGGGTGATACTTTTAGTGTCGAGTGTCCCAAGCATCAGGCATCGAATGCACTTGGACTCTGTGGAGGATTGGCCTCTACTGTGCTGGTGGTCTCCTGGGAAGGATGACAAGCAGATCTGCTGAGGTCTGCCTGTCCCTGTGTACCACCCCACCCCCACAATGTACAGCAGAGAGAATGTGGCAGAGAATTTGAGAGGGGCTGTTATTTTGAAATTTAAAATATCAATCCTGCCTAACTCTTATTTGGGGAAACAATAAATTCAGTGACTTATGGTTTAAAAAAAAACAACTTTGTTTTTAGTGTGAAGATGTTAGCAATGTGATTGTCCTCCCTGTATCCTGATGGTAAATCAGCAATCTGGCATTTGTAGAGAGAGCTGAACTCTCTTTCAGGGCATAAGAAAGCAGCCCTGTTTTCCAGGGGCTTTGTCCTAAGTGAAGTCTGAGTCAGCTGATTGGAGCTGAGAGTTCAGGACTCTGCTGTGTACCTGGGCATGGGCCTTGCACACCAAGGGCACGGTAGTCTGGGCATTCTGAGTGCTCCTCTGTTGTGAGGTGCTTACACGTGCTGACAGACCTGCTAACAGGGGATATTGACTGTTGATCCTCAGTGAGTTGAGGTGTGTTGTTTTCTTTACCAGCTACTGAGGAAAGCAGATGTCTAAAACGTCTACTTATCCTGAGGAATTCTGACATTTAGAGTCAGGAAAAAGGGAGGAACTTCTCCCGGAAGGAATGTTCTGGTCATCCTTTATGTCCAAGTTTGTTTTAACACCCTCAAGAAAGGTTCTCCAACCTCACCCTGTTTTTAATTTACTTTTAAGAAAAAATCTCTCTTCCTACTTAGGAAGAGAGCCTAATACAGCAGTTCTCAACCTGTGGGTCATGACCCCGTTAGGTGTTGAATGACCCTTTCACAGGGGTCGCCTAAGACCATCAGAAAACACAGAGATTTATATTACGATTCATAACAGTAGCAAGATTATAGTTATAAAGTAGCAACAAAAACAGTTTTATGATTGGGGGTCACCACAAAATGAGGAACTGTATTAAAGGGCCTCAGTGTTGAAACTCACGCAGGGCATTGGTAGTCACTGGAAGCTCAAGAGTCAGGACCCCACGTGGACATGGATTTCAAGGGAGAAGCCTCTGGTGATACACGGTCCTTGTAACAAGTTAGACACCCTTCCTTCTGATTCCTCCAGTGTGCCAGAGAATGTTACACTTCCTTCTTCCTCAAGGACAGTAGGAAATCGATTACTGTTGTCTGGGAAGAAAGGGCTGAGGGTAGGAAACGGGAACTTACATTAGATTCCTCTAGATCTGCTCCAAGCCCATCCCCAAGGGACCCAGGCCTTGGAGGTGCTTCCTGAGTTCAGAGGTTGGGGAGGGAAGTCTAGTGGAGATGGTTGTTCAAAGGGGAAAAACTGAAGGATGGACTATGAAGCTTACTCACCATAGGGCCACTCTCCGGAGTCCCTCTTGCCGTCTGGACTAGCCATTCAAATGGGCCTTGACTGGGCCCCAGTGGTACAAAACAGTGCACCCCAGACAGGGCCGTCCTCCTACAAGTCCATTCATCCCCTTTTGAACCTTCCTCAGCTGTCTAGTCTCTGCCCACATGGCCATGGCTGTCACTCTGGCCGCTGGACCCTTTCCAGGCAGGCTCATCTTTGACCCTCCTCATACGGTCTGAAGTTACTGTTTTGTTTTAGCTAAAGGGTGGACCACTGCCAGCAGTATGTCTGGAATGTTATTTACTTTTGCATTTCTGCGGCTTTTCCTGTAGCATCACACTTGGCAGAGCCAGGGGTCATTCATGTGAGAATGCCAGGCTGTACCATTTTCCTGTCTTGGTAAGATAAAGGGAGGCTGGCTCCTGTGCCTGTAGGTCCCCTGGTCTGAGCTAGTACCCTGCTCTACTCTTGGTGCCTGCTGCACCACCGCACCCCTTTGTCCTCAGTGCCTCAACTCTGCTCTTAATACGTGGGGTTTCTGTGGGCTTTCCGGAAAGCCTGGCAGATGCTTTTTCATTTGCGTGCCTACCCTGTTATTACTTCACATGAAAGCTGTCTATTTTGGCAGTCCTGACTCCCGCGATTGCAATTTAGTTCTCTGAGCTGAATGGGTGATATTGTGCAAGGGAAATATAGGTGGGATTTTTCTCTAATGGTGGCTGCGGGGGTGCACCAGAAATCTGCACGCCACCATCTTGGCTTGTGCAGAGCTGACATGATGGCAAACAAATGGCTTTTGAAAGAAGGAACTGGTGTGTAGTTCCTTACTTTGAAAGTCCTCACAGCTCGCTTGCTTTAATTCGCGGTTTTGTTTTTAAAGAACAAATTCTTCATTAGGAAGAACATAAATGAGTTCTAAGTGCTGAAGGTGGAAGCAAAACAAAGACTCTGTTTGTCCCTCCTTTCTGACACCTGCTTCCTCCCGCTTCATCTATGCAGTTTTAATCGTGGTGTTTGGAGTTACAGAAGAAGCTATGGAAAATGAGATTAGATGACTCCCCATCTGGTGCCAGCCCCAGGGCCATTTGCACCCCTGGGAGGGTTAGTGCCCCTCCTTCACTCTCATGATTCTCTTGTCACATGAGTCTGTAAGGGCCCGCAGCTTGCATGGAGAGTCTTTGTTTTGTAGGCACAGGGCTCTTCTCTGGGCTACACAGAAGTCTCCTCACCCAGGGCACCTGTTTGGTTGTTAACTCCACAGTCAGCTCCAGTGTGAAATGGAAGATTTGGGGTTCTATTCTTTTTGGCTTTTCCTGGCCTTCCACATGACTTCCTGATTTGCCTGTGAGCTGCTGGGATTTTTGGCTGAACAATCTTCTTTGATCACTCTCCTGACAGCATGGACTTCACATTCTCACACCTGTTCTTCTTTTACAGTCCAGATTTCATAGTAAACGTTTCCATTGCCTTGTAATTTTTTTCAGTATAAAACTTGGTGCAGGTTACTTATTACAGGTAATAGCAGCGTGATGACGAAGACAACTGCTGGCAGAAACAGCAACTTGAACAGCTGCCAGTAACGTAAACTGCCACTTGATTTAGGTCTAAAAGCATCGAAGCCACATCTATCCATCACGATCTGGCATGCACACAGTAATAACAGACTCTGTGGGCTAAGAAAGCCACCCCGCTGAGTAGCCACAAGGACAGGTGCTAACAGGACTCCACATGTTTTCTCTCCCATTATCTGCAGCCCACACATCATCTTCCTCTCTCAGAGCACCTTGACAGGCATGAGCCATCTCTGTGGGACCCGTCTCTGTCATGAAATTGCTCATGCCTGGTTTGGCCTAGCCATCGGGGCCCGAGACTGGACAGAGGAGTGGCTCAGCGAAGGGTTCGCCACTCACTTGGAAGATGTATTTTGGGCTGAAGCACAGCAGGTGGGTTCAAAGAATTTCCCTACCCAGAATCAAGTTCTGTTTTCATTCACTCATTTGTTCAATCGTTATATGCTGAGTGCGTTAGGCACTGTGTTTGCTGGATAGTTACTGTAAAAAGATGGCTCTGTCCGAGTATACAATCTAGAGATGGAGGGAACAGATAAGCAAAAGAAACAGCAATATGACAAGAGCTTTGAGAGCTCCACACAGAGTGGAGGGGACTGTTTGGCCAGGGAGCTAGAGAAGACCTGTTAAGGACATATTTGAACAGGGGCATGAAGAAAGGGTCAGATTCCTACACGGCATAATACCCGTGTGTAATGGTCCTGGGAACATTAGCTGTGGATGTTTTGTTTTGTTTTGTCTTGAGACAGGGTCTTTCTATGTAGCTCCAGCTGGCCTGGAGCTCACTGTGTAGACCAGACTGGACTTGAACTTGTATGAGTATTCCTCCCTAGCTATGGGCTTTTTAAATAATCTGATTTAAATATTAATCAGTGCTTGGGGTGCGGCTCATACCTGGAATCACAGCACTTGTGAGGCTGAGGCAGGAAGATGGATAGGATTTTGAGGCCAGTCCAGTCTATGATAAATTCCAGGCCAGCCAGTTCTAGATAACAAGACTTTGTCTCAACCTCCTTCTCTAAAAAGGAATGGAATTCTCTGGATGAAGGACAAGGCATTAGGTAAGATAACAAAATGGCATCTGCCACTCTGCTACAGTCAGTTGTCATGTTTAAAGAGAGGTTCACTGTGGCCGGGACAAGTGTTTTAGGAACTCAGTATTTCTGTGTCTTTACGTGACGCTCACTAATTCGGAAAAGATGCTATAAACCAGGCGTGGTGGCTCACACTTGTGTTCCCAGCATGTTGGGGCTTGAGCAAGAGTATTGCCACAGCTTTGAGGCCACACTGGGCAATGTAGTGAGTTCCGGACTTGGAATCCCACTCAGCTTGAGTGATACCCTGTCATAAAACAAACACAAAAAGCAATTTTTTTCTATCAAATGTAAATATCAGAGGCAGAGAATGTAGCTCATTGGGCCATGTCTATGCTTATCCTGTAGGCTATAGGTTAAACCTGTAGATTCAAGAGCTGAGAATGTTTGCTCAGTGGTCATGCCTGTGCTTAGCCTACAGGCCTGGCTTCAGCCTCTAGGATGAAAAGCACTGATTAAACACCCTTGCACTGCCTCTACTCAAACCTTGACCACCGGTATCCTGAGCATGAGACTGAGGAACTGTTTCCTACTTTCTCTCTACTTTGTAATCCCAGGATCACTTCTTTTCTACATGGTCCCCACCCTTGCTTTCCTAGCAAAGTTTTCCAAAACTCCTAAGTTTGTTCATATTGTTTGATTTTGTTCAAGAACATCCTGCCTGGTGAAGTCTTTGTGTTTCAGTGGCCAGCTTAAGGTCCCATCTCTGAAACTCAAACTGACTTGTACCTCACACCTCCCAACACAGCTTTCCTGGACTCTGAAGTCCTGTAGCTTCTGCTGTGTGCTTGCCTTATTCTCACTACAGAAACAATGTCATCACACAGTGAGGCTTCATCTTGCTTGTCCTCCTGTCCTCTCCCCACATGGAGCTACCCAGTTGATTGGAAGAGAGGCTAGGTGCTGAGCTGGGCCCGGTTTTGAGTCCTGTCTCTTTTGCTCACTAGCTTTCTGAGTACAGGCAGGTTCTACAGCCTCAGTTTTCCCCTTGGGGAATGGGTCTAGAAGACTCAGGTTCACAAAGCGGATGGGATAATGTGTAACTGAGCTTAACACATTCTAGACACGTGGGAGCTGTGTGTGAAATGCCTGTTCTCTTCTACCCTGCCCCCATTGGCATTCTGCAGGGGTCTCTAACTTCATTTTGAAAGAGGAAGCTCCTCTTTTACCATGTGTCCTGCCTGTATTTGGGTCTTGCCTTGTCCTGAACATGTCCCTACCAAGTGAAAGAAGCAGGTTGGGCTGCATCTCTCAGCTGCCTACATACCTTCCCTGTCCTTTCTGTGTTCAACCTATGGGGCCAAAAGGTGGAGGCTAAGAGAAGCGCTCAGTGGAAGGAGAGAGAGAGACTGAAACAGAGAGCAAGAGAGCAAGCACTAGCTACTGTGCACATTCAGAGGCGGGTGAGGCCAGAGACTTTAGGGAAAGCATACTGGGCTTTCTCAACCACTTCTATCCCCTTAACCTTCCATAGGGATCACATCACCTTCCCCAGTAGAAGCAGTAACTTCAACATACGAGAATACCAAGGCCCCCTTTGGCAAACTGCCTTTTTAGAGTCCCCATAGAGTCTGGGAAGGTTTCTGGAGCAGGTCCATCACTCTGACCCTTTGTCCTCCAAGGGCCAGCCTGATAAATATCCCTTTCAGGTCTTCCTGCAGGAGAGGGTCATGAGGGCCAAGAGTGGTCCCGCTCCCTGGGCTGCAGAAGCTACAGTAGATAGAGAAGAATGCAGTGGTGGCAGTGACCCAGTGGAGACATGCACTGCAGCACTGAGCCCAAGAGCACAGCAAAGAACCGAGTATGAAGTCACAGAATGAGGAGGAAGCTGCACCCCCTCAGAGCAGTGGCCATGGGGAGAAGTGAGGAAGCCGCTAGGTGGGATAGCATATGACCTTCATTGACCGGATAAGTCTACACTCCTTCCACACCTCTATTAATCTCCAGAAGGGTTGGCTTAAATAACAGCTCAAGAAGCTGACGGGATCCAGGGACCAACAGAACTGATTTTCTGGGGTGACCTCTTCTCCCGCCTGTCTGATCACTGTCTCCTCACTCAAGTCTCACATGATCATTCTTCCATACGTGGGAGGGAGACAGAGCTCCAGCATCTTCCTCTTATAAGACCTGCACAGCCCTGAAGGTTCATGGCCCCTCTAAAAGCTTCATTTAACTGTGATCACCTTTTGGAAAGTCTTGTCTCCAAGTGCATTTGCATTAGACTCACTCTTCAGTGAGCATGTCTTGTGGAGCAGTCTGTCGATCTCTGGCCCTCTCCAACTCCGCCTTCCTGCCTTGGTTGTCTGTTCCCAGCCCATCCATACCCCTTACCATTTTCTAAGACACTCTTTCCAAGCCGGTGGTGCTCTCTCACTTCCCGAAGTCTCTGCCCCTGCAAGCTCAGGCATCACCACCTACCCTGGGAAGTCTCCTGGCCCCTCACCTCGCCTGCTGACCAGGAGCTCCATGGTCCTTCTTGAGCTGCACATTGCCCCAAGTCTGATATTGGTGCCCTCGAATGCCACACTCCTCCTGGCAATGCAGTCTTCCATAATGACCCAGGGCCTACACGGAGTTTTGGTGAAGGTATTATTAGAGACCAGTAACTTCTAAAAATGTCTGCAGATCCTGTGTTTCCCTCCCTGCAGGGTACTCCACTGCCTGCCTTCTTTTATGGAGACCCCAGCCATGTGGCCTTGTGAGCATATGCATGTGACAGCAGCCAACTCTGACTCTGTGTGGCAGTGTGATGGCCTCCCCTGCCTCCAAATTGAGTCCAGACAGTATACTTTTTTTCTGGATCTATGCAAACAGAGTCATCTGGATTACATTAGCAGGCTCCACTATAAACAGTCCTTAACAAAATTGAGGGTTAGGAAAAATAAGAGGTAAGTGGAGGGGCCTTTCCCCTCCCCATGCAGAAACACGAGGCAGGGAAAGAAAGCTGGATGTAATCAAAAGAGAAATGTCCTTTGGAGAAGCCCCCTTTTCAGGTGTGTGTTCTGGACTGGAGTGGTTCCAGGGCCAGGGACCCAGCAGACAGGGCTGCTTTACCTACCAGCACAAGGGTTTTTTGCAGTGCTTACTGGCTGCCCCTTTGAGGAGCTCAGAGGATCATTCAGCCCTCTTCTGTTGGAGAGCACCAGAAAGGAAGGCATGCCCAGTTGTCCCCCAGTGGAACAAAGCAAGTCCCTTGCTGAGGAAAACCTGACCAACACAATGACTCTGCTTTGCACATGTGTTTGTGTGTCTATGTCCCATGTAGCTGCCCCCTCAGGAGGCCCTGGAGCAGCAGGAGCTGAGGGCTTGCCTGCGCTGGCGTCGCCTGCAGGATGAGCTGCGGAACTCCCCAGAGGAAATGCAGGTGTTGAGGTAAGGCACCCATGCTTCCCACCTCCTCTTCCTCCTTCCTCCTACCCTCCTGATGGTGACTTGCTGGCTGACTAAATCTACTGTTTCCTTTAAAATCCAACAGGGCTTGGGTTCCTCACCTTCCCAGGGACATGATCACTGTGTTTTAAGTCTTCCAGGGTATGGGTTTTGATTTGCCTTCTGACATTTTCCTGGTGTCTCTACTCAAGAAAAAAATAAAATAGCACGAGGGGCTAAATTCTTGGTTTGAAGTTCTAATAGTCACTTTATGTGGTGACTGTGGACATGAAGAAGGTTAGGGTTCGGCAGTTTGGCAGGCAGTAACCCTTTAGAGCCGACGAGGGGAAAATCTGTAAGAAAATATTGATTGCTCTGCGTTTAGTAGTAACAGATGTGCTGTCAATGGGGCCTTTTGCTCAGTTGTTGCCCAGCAGGAAGCCGCCGCTGCCCTCTGCACTCTCTGCTCCCGGGCGGCCGGCGCTGTTCTCAAAGTACACATGGTACTTGTAGGATGACTTGTTGCCATTTTCCCAGTTCCATCCTGGCTCCTTTGGTGCTCTTGTGCTATAAACCCTTGTCTGAAGCCTCTTACCCCAAGAGCGCCAAGGTTGCTATGACAACAGAAGCTTCCATCCAGCCCCTGTTGAGGAGAATCCAGTTATTAGGAATCTCCAGTCAGTGGAAAGGGTGGCCAATCTAGGAAATACCCCTTTCTCAACCCATTGTACATGACACCCTGAGGGCTACCTTATCCCTCTGGGCAGAGGCCTGCCTTGGGCACTTCTGCTGTTGATTGCTTCTAAATAAGCAGCCCTACACACCCACCCAACACACACACACACACCCACACACACACCCCACCCCACCCTTGCCCCCACCCCCCATCCACTTGCCTGCACTGGGCCTGAACCATGCCGGGAGGCAAAACCCAGAGCAGAAACAGACCAAGCCTGGTAGAGCCAAGGGAGCAAGGCTGGCTGGTGCTTTTGTGCAGTGCTGCTCTTGCCATGGCAGACTTCCTGCCTGCAAGCTAACTGGCCTCCCAGGATGACTCATCCATTGTTTCAGGAGACACAACTAGAGCAATGGTAAAGCATAACCAGCCAGGAGCCAGAGCCCTGCCTTTCAGCCCAAGGTCACTGTGCCTGTATCTGTTCCCTCAGCCAACCTGGCTGCTCCTACAGTGTGGACATGGTGCCTGCTCTCAAAGAGCTTCCATTTAGCAGGGACAGTGTTACATGTCCAAGCCTGTTACAGATGGTAAACAGTAATCCAACAGACTCAATCCATGATTTCTGAACTAACTGGAGGGCATCATGACTGAGCTAGGCATGTGCTTGGCTTGACAGAGTGAGGAGCACAAAGACTCTGAGGCTTGGAAGAGCCTTGTGCCTTGGGAGCAGAAATGGCAGAGCCCGTGAGTCAAGGGAGGCGTTGCCTCGCGTTCTTCAGAAGCTAACTAGTCTCCATGCAAGAATCCTGAGCCTGCTGGTGTTTCCTGTGTAGAATGGGCTGCAGGCGGGCAGAGGTGCAGTGCAGAGGGAGGGTCCTGGTGGGCAGTGACCTGGTGGCTGTGTGTCTTAGAGGCACAACTGACAGATTCCTATTGAGTGGAATGTGGCCACAAGGGCAGTGAGAGTACCTAGAAATGACTTTGGGTAGATGGTGATGAAATTTATTTAAATGGAAGAACAGGTGTTAAATAAAGATTCTGGCTGAGATGTTGAGTAGATAGGTAGTCTAGGCAGGCAGGAGCTTGTAGGAAAGAACATTCAGCCTGACCAGTACTCACTCATATGAGCATACTTCAGTCACCCAGAAGAGGAAAAAGCAAGAAAAGTTGTCAGATAATACAGTAAAGGATCCTGGGAAAATTGCTGTATATGTGGTGGAAACAGGGGTATCCAGGTCATAAGAGAAAGTGAAGAAGGGTAAGAGTGGCTGGTGTTGGATGCCACTGAGAAACATGACCTTTAGGTAGAACTGTGTGAAAGATGGCAGTGGTCTTGAATTCCCTGTCTGTTTATATGTGGTAGAGAGGTGTAAAGAGTGATGCCCATGTGCAGAACTGGTCATGTTAGCTAGCTCAGAAAGCATCACTGGGGAGGCAATGTGGGGATCTTGCCAGAAGCTAAAGGCAAGCTATGTGAACTGTAAATCCTTCACCCCTAGACTCAGTTTCTCAAACTAAAAGATCCGCTCTATTCTCCATGTTTATGTCTCTTGGTGGCTCTGGTTCTGCATGGGGTGGTCCTTTGGTGTATGGAAGGACATCATCTTGACAAAATATGTCTCCAGCTTTTAAATGATTTGCACTGCGTCCTCGGAAGCCACTTCTCACCCCTGTCCTCAGTGGAGCTGTGGTCAGCCCAGTTGCAGGAAGTGAAGTCTTTTCCATAGTGAGAGGATTGGGGAGCATTTTGGATGTTTGAACTAGAAGATTTATTGTGGCTTTTGTTTATTTTCCTTTGTCTGAATACTCAGAAACTGTCTTGGCCCAAATTTAGGCTGACTGAAAACAATGCATTTGAAGGACCCACTGCAGATAGATACAGAGAACAGTCATCAGCTGCGTGTGCAGTGAGGAGGAATTACATTATTAGGCTCAACTTACTCTTGGAGTTCTCTGTAGCTAGCGTTGTCCTGCCTGGCTCACAGTCAGGACAAATCTCTATCACCTGCCAGTCCCACAGCCGCTCAGACCCGACCAAGTAAACACAGAGACTTACATTGGTTACAAACTGTATGGCCATGGCAGGCTTCTTGCTAACTGTTCTTACAGCTTCAATTAATCCATTTCCATTCATCTATACCTTGCACATGGCTCGTGGCTTACCGACATCTTCACATGCTGTTTGTCATCGTGGCGACTGGCAGTGTCTCCCTCACCCAGCTTCCTGTTCTCTCAAGTCTCCTCTCTGTTGTCCCGCCTATACTTCCTGCCTGGCCACTGGCCAATCAGTGATTTATTTATTGACCAATCAGCAACACACTTGACATATAGACCATCCCACAGCACTTCCCCTTTTCTTTTCTTAAAAAGGAAGGTTTTAACCTTTACACATTTCCAAAGTCAGCTTGGTATATTTGGGAATTTGGGCGTAACTTCTCTTACTACTTCCTGCTGGAGGGGGGCGCTGTATCTTATGGGGACACAAAGAATATTTTAGGATTATGGAGTAGTCCGTGAGGCTGTATCATCTGAGCCAGTTGCCTTGAAACGGTTCTGGATGTTGGATCATCTGGGCCATGGTGTCATCGGAGACCTTTCAGGTGGTCTTGGCTGGTCAAACCTGATGTATCTTAATCTGGAACAAATCCATAGCCTCTGGCTTTCTGTGGAAACAAAAGCAGAGCCTCCTTTCCAAAGCAACATATCCTTACATCCAAATTTTGAAGTCAAGGTACCTTTAAAATATACATTTTGGCATAACTCAATAGCTTTTGTAATCAAATGTTTTTCTTCAGTTACGAATATCAAAGAGAACATAATCCAGATTCTCTGTGTGGTAGCCATCTTTATGTGGCTTATTTTTTATATTAGCTTGAGCCTATTGCTTTAAACTGCAGCCTTCTAAGCCTGAAATGGCGCTGGCGCTGCTGGCTCCGCCCACTTCAGCTTCCCAACATGGCGGTGGTATGTTTTCCCCCAGCTCTGGGAGCCATCAACTCTCAGAAATAGTGGGTCTATGCTTCTATCAAAGCAGCGTGTAGCCCAGAAACCTCTTTTTTTTTTTTTGTACTAGCAAAGGCTAAATCCACCACACAGCTTAATGTGCCACTTGCAGAGGCCTCATTCCCGCCATACTGCAAGTTGAGCGCACATGCCAGGAACCCGCCAGTAGCTCAAACACGCAGGCTGCCACTAACTTGAGAGAACAACTAGGAACTGTTTTTAGCTCCGTTTTAGAATCTTTTCTCTCAGTTTTTAGGTGGAAACTCTTGCCAACACGTTGGGCGCCAGTTCTCCCTAAAATGGGTTCAGAAAACCTCAAGTTACTGACATGGAAATAAGAAAATTTGTTCTAAGATTGTGTTTTAATGTAGAAATGACCCTGAGAAGGAACTCCTTTAAAACAGTACAGTGATCATAGATAGTGCCATTTTCTGTTTTTCCTTTTTTGGGGGGCAGGGGTCAAGATACTCCACCATCTTGAAACACGGACCAAGAGCCATGTGAGCCTCAGAGACAGAATGTGTGTAGCATAACAGCTGTTGCTCTCTATTCTTCTATCACAGCCCTGCCCTCAATGGCATTAAAAAAATAAAAGCTCAGACATCTTCAAGTCAGAAGGTCATGGGTTGAAGTACTGTGTATGGGCTGTACCAGTTACTTCATCAAAGAAAATGGCATTTTGCTGGTTATAGATAGTAGAGTATTATAAAGTAAGAAGAGACAAACCAAAATTTGAGATTTCATTTTGTCATTACTGCATGCACATATACCTGTCCACAATGTGTGTGCCACTGTGCTATACCCCTAACATTTTTTTTTAAATGTTATTTGGGATCTTGAGTTTCATTAAGCTTCTCAGGCTGTCTTTGAATTGTGATCCTCCTACCACACTTCTAAAGTACTGGGATTACCTATGTGTACCACCCTGCCCAGCAGTTTGAGCCTTCTATACTCCCAGTATTAAACCATGCATCTTATCCTGTGTGTCTTACATTGACTGTTGATGGATTTCATCAAATGAGTCTTTAACTGACTTCACCATGAATCTCATTTGGGCTCCAATGGTTTCTTGTACATTCCTTCCTGGCTGGAGTCCTCTAAGGCACAACTACAGCTCCGGAAGCATGGTTACTTACTCTGGGTTGCAAATATTAGGGGTCATATCCCTAAATCCATGCACTTGTCAGTGGTTAAGGCTCTTTCTCCTTGCTGAGACATCATTGGCTCTCTCAGACTTACTCTCACCTGTCTACTAGCCCTAGACAGAATTGCCAACAGAAGTCTGATTTGATTTTTTCATTCCAGCAGTGCAGCACTAGCCAGA